TGCTGTGCATTAATGTTTGATGAGATGTCGTTAAGTAGTGGGTTTCATTACGAAATCAGTAAACAACAAATTTCTGGGTATGAAGATTTAGGACACTTAGGTTGTACTATTAAATCAGCAAACCACGCATTAGTTCTAATGTTGAGAGGAATTCGTAAATCTTGGATTCCAGGACCAAAAGTACTTTTTTCTTCCGAAAAGCAGATTAAAAAAATAATTTGTCCATTTGATGATGAAATTATACTTGACAATAATTACATAATGTCGCTTGACATCGTTGAGTTTAAATGTTACATCTAATTGTATCATGGCTTATTTTTTATTAAATATAACTTTTTTATTAAATATAACTTTGTTAATTGTGTGTTCCTATCGTCGTCTACTTTACATCATTGAGACAATATGAGATTGTAGAATTGCGAAAAGTGAGATGTGATCTCTTTTGATAGTTTTACATATGGACCGCATTTTATGAATACAACTAATTTTTCACTGGACAATATAATTTGACCAAATTTTCTGATAATGTATGTAAGAGTTTGTTATTTTACATTGAAAATGACCCGATCGGTGTCGAAACGTTTGTATATATACGTTTATTAAAGATCTTACATTACAATTGGCTCGTTGCCCTTCTTTTATTTATTGATTTATTCTAATTGAGCCATATTAACATTTATTTATTTGACAATAATTGTTCTATGACAAAAGCAAGTTTATGTCTCGTAGTATATTACATCTAGGATTTGACTTATCCTGCAGCATTTTCCCCGATCCTTTCAGTTCTGCAAAAAAATAGCTTTTCCACAAGATAACTTTGGAAAAAATTTTATGTCGCAAAAGGTGAAAGACACATTAAAAATAATGAACTTGCATTGATACATTTGCTTCTCATTTCTTGCAAAGAGAGATACCATTATTTTTTATTTTCAATTGTCTAAGTTCTTTTGTCACATCGTTTTATCAGTTTTTTAGATCTTCTATATTATAATAAATATTATGTTATCTAAATTGTATCTCTTGTTAAAATATGATTGTTATGAAAATGTTAATCTATAGCATGTATATTTTCTATTTTGTCTAAGTATTGCATTGTCTACGAGTAGTTTCTTATCAAAGTATTATAAATTGTATCTTGTATGTGTGTGTGTAAATTGTTAATTGTCTAAATATTTTCGAAACTTTGTATTTTACTTATATTAGAGTATTTACTTTGTATTAAAATATGACTATTTTGTGAAAATTTTATTAGTTATCAAATCTTTATTTTTACGTAATATGTCAGTTGTGTGTTGTGTTGTGTGTGTCCACACATTTGTTTTTTTAAATAAATTAAGTTCTTGACATTGTATATATTTTGTTTACAAATTAAATGTAATCTAAATGTACTTATTCCCAATGTGTATTTTTTTAATCAGTACCTGTTTAATTAATTTAATGTAATTTTTCAGGAAATATTAAAGCAAAAAATAATTATTTTAATTCCGAAACAAATGTTTGAGTATGGCTGATGTCAGAGAACGAGACATAACTGTCGCAGCTGTGGATTTATATGAAGAGCAAATATGTACTTCTTAAATTCGAGATATTCCAATCCTTCCTTTCAATCCGCTTTTGTCCTTACAAAATGGTTAAGAGCGCAAAGAATGAAATAATTGTTGTAAATCGTGGATATAAAGTAAATCAGAGAAAAACGTTTATATAAGGCTGTTGTGTGGATGCATTACGTTTAGTATATATTTTTTCTCTGTCTTACTGTATATACAATTTACGATATTTACATTTCATTCTCTGCACTATCAGCCGTTTTGTGAGGACAAAGGTGAATGGGGAGGGAAAAGGAAAGTTGGGGATACCTCGAATTGACGAATATCCCCATATATGCTCTTCATATAAATGTACCTCCACATCATCTAGAATATTTGTACCGCATAATTATCTCCTCAATGGATAACTCCTGATTTCGAGATACCATTTTCCCTCTTATGTTTGGTGATACTTATGTCTCTCGTAATTTACGTAGAATTTATATTTCAACGTGTACCGTCAATTTTTAGCGGTACAAGACTAAGAGTGTATACACTACTCTATATACCTCTTATTGTTCTTGTATTATCTTTCTATACTAGGATGTTGATAATTTGCCTGTATTATGTATTGTGGAGGAAAGAATAAATTTTTTCATTCTTTCCATAATATTGGGAAATATCGGAGTAAACCATGTAACAATAATGCATGTAATTGAACCAGTAGAATTGAAAACACATATCACAAGATAGAAAACACAACCCGCAAAAGAACAGACTAATTTGCTGAATAAAAAATATCTTTAATGCGAAATTCGATCTCTTTAAATTGCATGCATTCTAATCCAATTCACCACAATCGAATACTTATTATCTTGCTCAATGTCAAGTAACGATTATGTAGAGTTCTGTGGTGAGTGTGTGCCTGATTATAAACGTGAAACGATATTACAATATATTCACGTTGTACAGCAGTGTATGATCCTCATAAAAAGTCGCTTAAAAGTTTAATTATCTCCTACTCTCACGTTTCCCTCGTACAAGAGTTTATATTACAAATAAAATTATAGCATTATAAATTCACTTATCGTTTTTATTCGACCACTTGGTCAATTGTGAAAAGAAAAACCATAACAGTCAAGAGGCACAATGTTAAATACGAGAATAATTCCATCGTGTTGTAAAATTACAATATATGTCTAGCATGCACAATATAATACAATTTAGTGTGTACAATTAGGATGCGGATAAACTGCTAATCTTATGAAGATAAATAGATTTTTTAAGGCGAATTACTTGATTAATCGATATTTCGTATTATGTTTTACACAATTCGTAAGATAGAAATTATTTTTTTAAAGGATTGCTGAAATATTCATGATATTCTCGAAACTTTGCAAAACAATTTATGTATTATTAATGTTGCTAAAAGTTATCACTGTCCTTGTTTTCCATCTTAGCGTGCATACATTCCAAAAATGATTTTTCCTAATAGTTTTTGTATTGATATCAATGCATTGCAGGAGTATTATAGTAAGTTTCGTCATTTTTTGTTTTTTTTACAATACATGAGAATACGAGTGTTTCAAGCTTTCTTTCGAGAACAATATCTAACTGTTGTTAACTTGCAAGATATTAGATATGTTCTCGAAAGAAAGCTTGAAACACTCGTATTCTCATGTATTGTCAAAAAAACAAAAAATGACGAAACTTACTATAATACTCCTGCAATGCATTGATATCAATACAAAAATTATTAGGAAAAATCATTTTTGAAATGTATGCACGCTAAGATGGAAAACAAGGACAGTGATAACTTTTAGCAACATTAATAATACACAAATTGTTTTGCAAAGTTTCGAGAATATCATGAATATAGTATTTCAGCAATCCTTTAAAAAAATAATTTCTATCTTACGAATTGTGTAAAACATAATATGAAATATCGATTAATCAAATAATTCGCCTTAAAAAATCTATTTATCTTCACAAGATTAGCAGTTATATCCGCATCCTAATTGTACACACCAAATTGTATTATATTGTGCATGCTAGACATATATTGTAATTTTCAATCAATTGAATTTACGTACGCTTTGTTAGATTTCTTTTTTTAATCGATGTGTCGTTAATATCACGTATTACAGTTTCACGTTTTCTCTGCTATAGATTTGTAAGAGAACAAGAATACACCGTTCTCAGCTAATACGTTGGTGGGGTGATGTAATAGGAACTCCTAGATAGGCTGGGTAGGTCCAAGTGGTCGAATAAAAACATTTATCGTTTAAAGATTTATTATTAATATAATTTATATTATAAAAGTAATTTATATATATACATAATGTATATATAAAAGTTTATTTCTTTTTCGATACACCAACTGTGCGTCCACGACGACCTGTAGTCTTGGTGTGCTGACCACGTACACGGAGACCCCAGTAGTGACGCAGCCCTCTGTGAGCACGGATTTTCTTCATCCTTTCCAAGTCCTCACG